CCTCCCCCACCCTCAGAGGACAGGCCGTGCCCTGCGTGTGCCCACCCTGGGCTGCAACCCGGCCCTGCACCCTCCTCCCACAGCCCTCATCCGTGTGCCCGTCTCCCGTCCTAGGCTGCAGCTCCCGGACGCCCAAGGCCGTGCCTCTCCCTGTCTGTGAGCTCAGCACCCAGGACAGGAGAGGGCACACAGCAGGCGCTCAATGAATGCACATGGAGGGAGTGGCTGGGAGTGGGAATGGGTGTGTGAGGGACCAGGACTTCTAGGGGTGTGGCCTGCTGTGACGGCGTGCGTGCAGCAGCTACGTGACGTGGGGACGCTGTGTGAACACGAGGAGGTGAGTGACGACCGGGCAGCAGAGCAGCACAGGGACGAGAGGAGAGGAAGGAGCAGGAAGGCGGGAGGCAGGAGGGAGCAAGGACTGGGCTCTTTTTCGCGCATTTGCAAGAGGAGCTGGAGTCCCCTAGAGGGCATCAGAGGACAGAGGTGGCCCCAGGAGAGGTGGCCAGGTGACAGATGACCACCTCACCACTGGCCCCTGCCCTAGACATGGCGCTGGGCATGGTGGGGCTGTGACCAGCATCTCACTTATAAGGACACTGTGTCCCCTGGATGACATCCCCATTAGACGGATGAGGAAACTGAGGCCCAGACTGCTGGGGCTCCCTGGCCAAAGTCACAGCAAATTAGGAATCTGCGTCTCCAACAGGAATGGAACAGGCCGCCCCTCCTGGTCACGGCGAACACGCGCGAGAACACAGGGCAAGGCCAGCGCCCCCAAGCCGGCAGCCCTGGTCACTTCCCACAGGGCCCCTCCCCCCAGCCTCTGTCCCCCGGCCACAGCGGAGGGACAGTGGAGGCCACACCGGGTCTCCAACAGCACCAGGTCAGGCCGCTCCAAGCCTGCTGAGGAGGACGGGTCTGGCGCTGCGGCAGCAGGGCCTGCTCCTCGCCCAGCAGGGCAGCAAACCGAGGTTCTAATTAGCAGCTTCTGGAACATCCAAGTGCCCTGGATGAAGGAAATGTGTTTCCTAATTGGCCCCCTGCCGGGGTGTCAGTCAGAGCCGGGATTATGCAGCGGAGCCCTGCCCAGCGGCAAGGCCTGGCCTCCCCAGCTCATCCGCAGGCCAGCTCCTCCTGTCCCCCTGCTGGTCACCTCCTCCTAGGGCTGCCCCCACACATACCCACTTCTTCCCCAGGCCAGGGTCCCCACAAACGACACCCAGAAGATTCTCCATGAGGCCCAGCGGAGCCCAACCCAGAGGTCTGGCCCCGCGCTGCGGCTGGCTGCTTCCTGGCCCCACCACACTCCCTGCGGCCCCGGGGCCCTCTCGAGCCTCCCAGAAGCCTGCGTGATCCCCTTCCGGACACTTTTCCTGTCCTGCCTCCTGCCCGGACACGCAGGCCGAGCTGGGGTGGAGATGACTCCCTGACATTAAGCGACCCCAAGAGTACCAAGGAGTCCTGGAACCAGAAACCCCATCGTTGGGGAATAGGAGGTGACAGTGGCAGTCCTGGCTATGAGGCCACAGGCCTGGAGCATATTAGGAGGACATGAAAGCCGGTGGCACCCCAGCTCCAGCCCCATCAGCTCCCTGAGGGTCACCCCACGCTTTGCCACTGCGGTTCCTCGAGTTTTGCCCCCAGCAGAAATGTGGCCAGCGGGTGTCGTGCCTGGGCAGTGTGTCTGGGGCAGGAGACGGGCAGCCGCCATCAAGTCTGGAAAGGGGGCATGCCAGCCTGGGGCAGGGGTGGGGAACCTGCGGACTTAAGGCCACCTGTGGCCTTCTAGGTCCTTAAGTGTGGCCTTTTGACTGAATCCAATTTTTGCAGAACAAATCCTTTTATCGAAAGGGGCACAGCAGAGAAAGATGAAGCTTTTCTTGCTTCCTTTGGTGCTTAAGAAAGAAGAAACTTGAAATCACAAGGCTACAGCGTCCCCACCCCTGGAAGGGGAAGAAAAAGCCCAGGGGAGGCCGCTGGGGATGGAGCAGGAGGCTGAGGAAGCCACTTCACTCAGTGAGCCCGTGTCCCCATCTGTGACCCAAGGGGACTGCAGCCCACCGTCCCTGACACCTGCTTCACTCTGATAACGCACGACGAAGTCAGGTGTGCAGCTAAGGGGAGGCAGAGGCAGGGACAGGTGGCCGAATGGCACCCACAGGCTGCGCCCCAGCCCCCCACCCTGCCCCAAGAGAGGGGCCCACACAATGGCACAGGGCGGGGGCTCCTCCGAGACCATAAAAGGAGGTGTCAGGTTGGGCAGGTGGGGGGGGGTCTGCCTGCTGGGGGTGACGGCCCGAAGAGCTCAGAGGGGCCGAGGTGCCCCTGGAATACAGGGGTACGGAGGGCAGAAGTCACTGGAGGGAACGAAGTCAGAGGAGAAAGCCCGGCTGAGTCACACAGAATCAGGGGGAAAATGGGGTCCGTGCTGGTACCTTCCACAGGTCCAGTTTTCCTTTGTTCACTTGCAGAACAGAAAACCAGGCTGCAGGTCAGCGCTCTGCAGAATCACTGTCGGCTGTCCCCTCTCCCAGGGCAGCCCCGTAAAGGGTCTAAAACCAAGCAAGCAGACACCACCGTCCCTCCCCCAGCAGGCCCTCCTCTTCCTCTTCCCTCCTGCCTCCCTGCGGTGACCCATGGCCTTGGGGGGGGGGTCGTGACTCCTCTGCGCCTGCTGCTTGGCTAGGAACGCGGTGCTCGGGGCCCCAGATCCAAAGCCCGGAAAACCTGCAAACCCTCGGGCCCTCAGGCCAAGTCCTCGTACCCCCAGGAAGGCCGGGCAAGAGAGGGGGCGGCACCTCGAAGTCCCAGGCAGACGCTGAAGACCCAGGGCTGGGAGGACGCTGCCACATGAGCTTCTTTCAAAGCAACCTGGGGACGCTGCTTACGGGTGTCACCCTGGCTTGGAGATAGCACTTCCTTTATCCTTAAAGCAACCTCAGGTTTGTTTTCAAAATTCAGGTTTATTTTCCCATGGGAGTTCCTGGTGTGCTTTAAAGGGGCTTTTAGGAATTTCCTGTGCACCTCAGCCCCCACCCCCACCCAGGGGCCTTGAACGCTGATGCCACAGCCTGGCAACTTCCGAATTGACACGTGAAACCTGCGGTCGCTCCTGCCCCACCCTGCGGGGCCAGGCGGCCTGTGGGGACTGGGATGGCTGGGTCCTGCTCTGGCTTCAGTGGGGCGTGTGTGCCCGAACACCCGCGCACACGCGGTAAAACAAGGACGTTTAAAAAGTTCTCAACATTCCTTTGGGTTCCTTTGGGCCTCATCATTCACTGCATTATGCTAAAAGGTCCTGACCATTGTCCTTATTAAAGAAAAAACCGCAAGTCTGGTTCAAGCAGCTGGCCCAGCGCGGACCCCCACGAGCCTGCCGGACGCCCTCTCGGCCAGGGAAGGGATCTCTCGGGCTCTGGGCAGCGGGGCCTCCCTCTCCCCAACTCCTCCCACTGCCGTTTCTTCTGTCCTGCCTTTTCCCCCAGCCAGGTCGCGCTTTCCCAGGAGCCCGTGGGGCACCTGGCTCTGTGCTGGGTGCTTCCCACACACGCGCAGCAGGCGGCATCCTCTCCATTTTCCAGACAAGGAAACTGAGGCTCAGATAAGCAACAGGACTCAGCCTAGGTCCCCCGAGAGAGGAGCGTGGTCAGGACAGCCCCGGGAAGCCGGGCAGGACAGAGAGGCCTTCCCAGGGGCTGCCGGGGCCGAGGACAGGGAGGCACCTCCCGGGCCGGCGGGAGAGGGGATGGACAAGAGTGGGGAGGAGGGGGAAGGCAGGGGGAAGGTGGGCAGCTGTGGACCATGGGGGCTGGGAAGAGGAGGCCCTGCCCCAGGCTCAAACAGCCAGGCCGGCCAGGGCGGGAAGAGGCCCCTGCTGGAAGGAACCAGGCCGGCATTCAGGGGCCCGGGGCTCCTTCCTGGCCTACACTGGGGGCCTCGGCCACCCACATGGACAGCCTGGTCTGCACTCAGGGGCCTTCCCTGCTCTGCCAGTGGGTGGCTGGGCGATCCTCTGGGGACTTCTGTGTGTGTCTCCGGTTGTGAAGCCACCCCCCCCTCCCCCAGTCTCTGCACACACTGCCCGCTGCCCGCCCGAGGCCCCTCCCGGACAGGCTCCCCGATTCCCTCCCACCCACAGCAACCGCGGCCAGGCCTCGACCCTGCATCATGTGGTGTCCGGCCAGCCCAAGCCTCCGACCAGCACAGACGCTCTCAGGGACCAGAAAGCACACAGCCGGGCCGGCTCCTTACCCACCAGGGTGGCCTGGCACGAGGAGGGTCCCAGCGAGGCAGAAAAGGAGAGCCGGACAGGAGCCTGCTGTCCCCAGGGCACAGTGAGAATGGGGGACACAACACACCCTATCCCAGGAAGGGGTCCCTCTGAGGACACAGGTAACAGGCAGTGTCTGCAGGTGGCTCCCGGGGCTGCCCCACAGGTCTCAGCTCGACAATCCCCTTTCTCTGCATTTGAACTTCAGGTGCGTCGGAATTACCAGTGAGCCCTTTAAAACACAGGTCCCCCAGCCCTACCTCAGCCTGGTGGGACACCTGAAACCCGCCAGGGAGTTCCTACCCCCTTTCTGATTCCTGGAGGGCTTCACGTTGAGCAACACACTCGGGCTGAATGCCCACGGCACAGATGCGGACACAGAGGTCCAGAGAGGTAAAGTGACCAGTCTGCGGCCACACAGCTCCTCAGAGCGAAGGCAGAGGCCAGCCTGGGCATCCCAGCCTCGGGTCGGCCCCTGGGCTGGGTGCCATCTGCAGGACGGGGGAGAACCCAGGCCACGGGGGCCCCTCACGCCCATCTCTGAGGACGGAAGTGGAGGACATGAGAAATTCCCAGGTGTGGAATCCACCCAACTGAGTTCCCATGGGTCGGGTCACAGGGACTCCGTGACCAACACCCTCCCGGGGTCACCTGCACCCCAACCCCAGCCCCTCACTGGTCATGTGGCTCTGTCCCCTCCTCCCCGCACAAGGGGACCCTCACTCACCATAGTCCTTCTTGCAGTACTTCTTCATGTTAATCTTCAGCTTCCCTTTGGAGGCCTTGCAGTAGGAGTCGCAGTCTGCAGGGGCGGGGGGAGCACAGACAAGAACTAATTAGGCTGGCTGTGAATAGCCGAGGGCCGAGAAGGGGCCGTCTCCCTAAACACCCAGTGGCCTGTGATCCCATGGGCCAGGCTGGGCGGGCGGCTGTCCAGGGCCTGGCCTTCTAAAGAGGCCCCCGGACAAAGGGCCCCGCCTGACCCACCCCATCCCCTCCAGCCTGACGAATCCTTTAGCCGCCGCCTGCAGCCGCCTTGGCCCCCGGGAGAGACTCGGGGGGCTCCCGTATTGTGCCACCCAAGGCTTCTCCCTGTTCTTAAGACGCAACTGGAGCCTGATTAAAGCCGATAGTGGCCTCATTGTCACCCCGCGCCCCGGGTCTGTGTCAGGCACTGGCTTTCATGGCGCGGAGCCTCTGGCTGGGGTCAGGCCCCAACAAAAGAGGTCACAGAGGAAATTAGCAGCCCATGAAGCATTAGAAAACCCCTTTGGTGTCCACTCTACTGGAGTGTGCAAATAAAATGTCCCACGAAGAAGAGTTCAGTTCTAATGGGCCCTACTGCTGAGAGGCAAGGCTGTGGGCCTGCGTCCACTGGGTAACACTTTGAGGGTAGCCAGGGCCTGAGGAAGAGCCAGGCAGGATGTATGGGGCACCAGGGCCTGCAGCCATCGGGCCTATTCTCCTGGGCATAGCCTGAGTTAACCTCTTAAATGCAAAACCTCCCACCTCGGCCCAACCATGGTCTCCCTGCCGGCGAGGTCTGTCCTCTGGACAGGTGATGCAATTCCTTCCTTAGGTCCGTGTGTGATGCCTTGGTGTGCCGGCCCAGCCCGCCACAGAGGCCCAGCAAACGCAAGTCTCCCCCAGGCTGCCCCGCCCCCACTACTCAACGGGCTGGAGCTCATTCAACTCTCACAACCATTCTCTGATGTGCGGGTGTTATTCCCATTCTGCAGACAAGAAAACTGAGGCCCGAGGAGGATAAGCTGCCTGCCCGATGTAATACAGGTAGCAACTGCCGAGGCTCAGCCTCAAACCTGGATCTGAGATGCCAAGATCCCTGAAATGTGGTTAGGCCATGCTCTGTCTCTGTGAACACTGACAGAGTCCCTCTCAGTGTGAGCAGGGTGGTGAGCTCAGAATCAGGGCTGAGAGATGCTCAGTATTCTAGCAACTCCCAGACTGCTGGGGGGAAGACCAGCCAGGCCGGCCTGGGGGCTGCAGGGGGCCCAGCCTGCTCTGGGAGCAGTAGCGGAATGGGCTGGGTGTGCATCCCAGTGCGGGGTGGGGAGAGGACTAGGAAGGTGAAGTTCAACACACATGTGCACACACAGGTGACTGCCCCAGGAGCATGTGGCAGCTGCCCTCCCACCCTGCAGAGAGGAAAGGCAAGGAAGGCCAAGGTGGGGCAAGAAGTGATTTGTGTGGGAGCACAGGGCAAACCCAGGCAGGAAGGCAGGCCTCTCGGTGCCACCTGCACCCCAGCCCTGCACCCCAGCCCGGAGCTTAAATCTGCAGGAAATATTCACAGGGACCTCCGCAGAGCCAGCCTCTGGCCCTATGGAGGTGGCTGCCTCCTCCGAGGTCCCGGGATGCACTGATGGACGCCTCAATCAAAGTCGACACAGCCCCATCCCATTGCCCTCAGAGCCCAGGCCCGGCAGCCGCCTACTGCCCCCCCCTGTGCCAGCCTCTTAGGGCCTCCAGTTAGGAGCTGGTACCAGGACATGGGAGAAAAACAGCCCTGTCCTGCTCCCCTGTGATCTGAGCCCTTAGAACCGCATGGATGGCCCTGCTCTGCGGCACTGAAGGCCACAGTGCTGGTCTCTCCTGCCAGCCGGACAGCTGGTTGGTTATTGCAGTAGCGACCTCTTGGGGTGCGGGGACTGGGTCGTCAGAGAAAGTGGCGCTTGCTCTACTGTGGCCAAGCTCGAGAGGTCGAAATGAGAGGTGACAGCAGCCCAGACACACAAGTCACGACACCATCGTCACCACCGCCACATTTCCCTGCTGGGAACACCGGCTCTGGGCCATGTCTCTGCCAGCTCAGACCCAGATGACGCCCACAGCTAAGCCACTGCTATGGCCGAAGCCCGGCTGTGCGTAAGTCCTGGAGGTCCCGGGAGAGCTGGCTGGAATCCCCTCCCCCAACCCTGCACTTAGGGAAGCAAATAGGAACGCAAGCGGCCGCTGAGTGACGTTATTGCAGGGACAGCCTCAAATCCGCTCTTGTTGACCTCTTATTTTTCTACGAAAGCCGCTGGCCCACATCAGAGCCTCCATTTCAGATCAGGAGGAAATCACTTTCAGCCTGCCCCCCTCCATGGGCTGAGACGCCCCCCTCCGTCTCAGCCCTAAGCAGAGAGCCTAGGGTCAGCAGAGGGTGCCTTGGAGGGCATCAGCTCTTCCGAGCCTCACAGGAGGCTTTGGGGGTGGGGGTGGGGATTGTTGTGCCCAGCTTAAAAATGAGAGCCCAAAAAGGTTCCAGAGTGGCCGGGGTGGGGTGGGGCAGAAGAGTCC